TCATATGTTATGTCAACGATCCCTTGACGTTGAAATTTAATGAACAGTAGATGGACATGCCGCTGCCTGGGCAAATTTCCCCTCTCAGCACAGTACATGGTATATGACCATCTTCATGAGCCGGTTTTCTTCAGGAGAGTTGGGTGGCCGAATGGTTAGGGCGTACGTGTTGTATCATAAGGTCTGTCATTGAGTCATTGACAAGGAGTGGGGTCGCATGTCCAACCTCGTGGGTTTTCTCCGGGTCCTCCGGTTTCCTCCCACTGCTAAAGACCCCTACGCGCAAGCGAATTATTGAAATAAAATTGAACCATATGTTAGTCCCGAAATGACCTAGATTGTATCAACTCTCTCTCACTCACATACCATAATGGCTGATTTTTGTAACCTTATTTTACTACAGGCGTATGGGTACTACTGGTGTATGGGTACTACTGGTGTATGGGTACTACAGGCGTATGGGTACTACAGGGGGGGAACCTCGGTTCTTTTAGTACCATACGAAGGACTAGGAACCCATCCTTTTTCAGCACAGCAGGTACCACTATAATGTTATGGATAACTTGGAAAGATCTATACTTGCCCTTTCAAGGTACACCCATCCTTACATGTCCAAGCAACTTTTTTTGAACAAATCTGTACAACCCCACACAGTTTTCTGATCATCTATAGACCACGAAACCTACTGGAATTGTTGACGAAATAAGACAGGGGAAATAACTCCATGATAATATGGAGTTTCAGATTTTTATAAAGAGAGGGAGAGAAATGGGATTTAACATCATTTTGGGATTAACATATAGTTTAATTTAATTTCGATAATTCGTTTTTGTGGGAGGAAACAGGAAGACCCTGAAAGATAACAGAAGATGTAATAGATGTGTATTTTTTTTATTTTTTGGAGATTTATTCACTTGCCGTATGTTGAAGCTGATAATTCATTAGACCAAAGCATCTATATTAAATATATAACAGCAGAGAAATTACATTTATTTTCAAATGATATTTACATTTCATAAGTTATTAACCCTTTGGAACCCGAACTGCCCCGAAAATAATGTCCCCTCGAGTAGTGTCTCTATTGCCACTGTAGTCACGATATGGTAAGTATTGCGATTCAGGTGCTACGATACGATTCGTATCACGATTCATAAACAGGTCAATATTTACCAAGAAAACAAATGAATAATTGATATTTTAGTCCTGCCGATATTAAAGAAATAAAACTGTTTTATATCATTTGATGTGGATCAAAATGAGGACCAAAACAATTTAAGAGTGTTTGTATACCTATGGATGACATGTGACTCAGATAATTAAGAGTGACAGGTTATACTGGAGCGCTAAAAAAACAAAAAAACAAAAAAAGAATCGCGATACATCAATACAGCATCACACGATTAAATATGTGAATTGTGAGAAGGTGAATCAGAATATACATTAATTCAATGATATATCCTATTAGCACTAGTCTAAAACCACCACAAGCGAGAGAGAGAGAGAAATGGGGTTTAACATCCACTTGACTCAAACTAGGTCATTTCGGGACTAACATGGTTTAATGGGTTTTTTTTTCAATAATTCGCTTGCAGGTAGGGGTCTTTAGCAGTCGGAGGAAATGGGAGGACCCAGAGATAACCCATGAGGTTGGACAGGCGACCCTACTCCTTGTCACGTATGACCGGGGATTCGAAACCACGCTAGTTGACTCAATGACAGGCCTTATGATACAGCGCGCACATGCTAACCATTCAGCCATCCAACTATTTAACAGCAGAGTGTACTACTAGTGTGGGTTAGAGTTTTGGGCAGTTTCGAAAAAGAGCACTTTTCTCAGAGAACTAGGGTCATCCAGTATTTACATGTAGGGGGACCAGGTGCCAAAGGGTTAACATGTAGTTTAGCATTCCTAATAAGATGCACAGATATTGCCTCTTGTGGTTCGTTTGCAAGAATTGAATAATAATTAATTAAAGTCCGGCCAAACCAATTTATTTTTAGTTCCCTCATGGTCTTCATCAGTAAATAAATAACCCATTTATGCGATGTTTTGTTTAAATTATAAATTTAAAGTAACTACTTTAAAAATTTGGAACTAGAAGCTCTTGAACTGCACAACCAAGTACTTTTGGATTTTAGGTTACATGAAAAAAACATTCTGGTTGTCAGACGACCCTTTGTAAAAAAAAAAAAATGCTGGACGGCGGTTTCTGTTTTTCTTATGTTAAGAAACATACAAAATTATAAATTAACAATCGATTATCCAGTGCCGTTCGTGATTGTCATTAGTGTTTCCCTTGGTTTTGTAGTTGATACCTGAGTCTATTGTTCAGTTCCACTTTTCAAAAAACGCTTAATAGAGTTACTTCCTTGAATTGCGGGAAATAAGAACATACGGAAATTGATAGCTTTGTTTTTATTTACAACGGCCCATTTTTGATAACGAGGCGGTATTTGAGAACCAGAATATTTTTTGGTGTGGCCATAAATAAGTTTAAAGGGACAATAACACTCTTGCTGGCTTGGCAGCTCCAGAAAATAAATAATAGCCTTATTCTAAGTATTAGATGTTTAAGTGTCCTACCTGTTGTGTAAATTGTCCATTACATCCTATTTTACTTGTCCAGAGAGTTCGAAAATATTTTTAAATCCAAGGCTTTTCAAATCATTTAGTTGAATTTTTCCAATTTTTTAAATTAGGTGTGTTAAGATGAAATTTGTATCATCAATTAATTGGAATATTGTAAAATAGTACAATTTGTTGACCAGAATAAAGATTGGGACATATTATTCAGTTACAACAAGAGTGGTATTGAGCCTTTAAGTCTTTTATCTGGAGAAATTAGAAGGATAATTTTACAGGTGTTTCCAAAGAAATTAGAAGAATAATTTACAGGTGTTCCCAAAGAAATTAGGCCTAGAAGGATAATTTTACAGGCATTTCCAAAGAAATTAGACAGATAATTTTAAAGGTGTTCCTGTAGAAATTAGAAGGATAATTTACAGATGTTCCAAAAGAAATTGGAAGGATAATTTTACAGGTATTTTACAGGTATTTCCACAAGAACAGAAAATCAAAATGATATGACCTGAATGAAAATAATATGGGTACAAAAACAACCAATACAACATATAAAGTTACAAAAAAAACATGGAGGTCTTAATAATAATCAATGACATCAATATACAGAAATTATTTACAATTTATATCATCTCTAAATTAAATATTATCTATATTTATGGCAAATACTGAACGGCAGGCAAAGGCAAGATTTCCATCAATTTCTAGTTTATGTACAAACTATATTATATTGAGACACATAGTAGGGTCACAGAACTTAAATAGAGTATGAAATAAAATGGGTTTTAATGTTTTGCCATGCAACAACTGGTCTAATGAACATTGGCATATGCCATGCAGCGCTATGAGGGAAATTTTGCACAGAGAGCAGAATTTCTGCCACCATTTTTTTTTTAAATTCCAGTGCGAGAATTTAACGTCCACTTGACACAAACTAATATCATTTCAGGACCAACTAATGGTACAATTTTATTTCATAATTCGTCTTTAGATAGGGATCTTTAGCAATGGGAGAGGAAACTGAAGGACCGGGAGAAGACCCATGAGATTGTACAGGCAACCCTACTCTTTAAGACATACAAGCTTGGGATTCTAAACCATGCTACTTGATTCGACAACAGACCTTATGATTTAAAGTGGTTGCATTAGACCACTTGACTGAACCCCCCACCACCCATCCCTCCTACTAAAGAGAAGGCAACTATATACATAAAAAATAAACACACTTGTATGGATATACTACTTCTGAATTTTATTTACATGCTACGTTTCAATACACATACAGGTATCGTTATCAAGCAAAGAACGATACCTGTATGTGTATTGAAACGTAGCATGTTAATAAAATTCAGAAGTAGTATATCCATATAAGTGTATTTATTTTTAGTGAAATCTTTTTCTATATGTCTTACAAGGATTAACTATATACATAATTAAGCTGATGGCAGTGCTGAAAAAATTTGACACTCAAATTACTCAATCAAAATTTGTGCTGTATAAAATCGTGCTGCTTGACACAAAAAAAAATATTAAAACAACTGGCCCAAGTTCACAAAGCATTTTCAGACTTAAGTTCAGAATTTACTCAAAACTGTTCACCTTATTTTAACTAAAATATAGGCCTTTATCAAAAGTTTGCTGTTTTAATGTATCAAATACATCCATAAGAAACTATGTGCAAAGTTTTGTGTTTCTGGATCAAAAATATTTCTCATAAACAGTGATTGACAGTTGAGTAAATTCTTAACTTATGTCTGAGAATGCTTTGTGAACTCGGGGCCAGGAAATATAAAATATAATGGGACTAGAATGAGATTACCATAATGATAAAATAAAATACAATTAAAATTATATTTGTGAACTAGATAATTAGGCCAAATAAAAAAAATATTCTGTTTGTCAGATAATTTCCTGAATCACTTGTAAAAAGGTCTGCTTGTTAAGTCATTTAGCCCAGTTGTGATCTTTTGAAAAGAAATGAGGTTTAATGTCCTAATGTTCCGACCCGACTGGGCTTATGAAGAAGGGCATACATACAGTGTGCTATGAGGGACATTTTGCCCTGGCAGCGGCACTATGGCCTACCATCAAATTCCAACTGTCAAGTGATCTTTCATGTACATGCCAATGGGACCTCAGTTTTTCATCCCATCCAAAATGACTAGACGGCTGTCCTTGTCACGCCCTCCATCTTGCATGACTGACAAGGTGAAACCACATCGAAAATCCTTATGAACTTTCTCGGCCAATGCAGGGATTTTTTGGAAGAATTGTTTAAGAAGCAGAATTTCTTTTTTTGTATGGCCTTATATAACAATACTGATAATATATATATAAATATATAACAAAATTGTATTTGATAAACAAATAAGTTTTCTTAAAAAAAAACAAACCCAGAAACAGATGGGCTGTTTAAAGATAAAAAAAATATCTTTAGTTGACTATATTAAAAATTAGGTAAAAATTATGTATAGCATTTCAAGTTGTGTAAAACTCAAACAAAGTTGTGTAAAACTCAAACCAAAGTTGTGTAAAACTCAAACGAATTTGTGTAAAACTCAAACAAAGTTGTAAAACTTAGATGACTAGAAATGTTCTGAACAGTTAAATTCTGATCAGAATTTGAGGGATTTAGAATTCCTTGTTGTTGAAAGACGAATGTCTAAAAGGAATATCAATCCAAATTTATTTAGTATTTACAACGATTTGGTGAATTAAAAATTTTGCAAACTCTGCAGACAATCTATGGTCATAATCAAAACAAACCAAATTCACATCCAAAAATGTGTTCATAATTTATTTAAATAAATAATTCATTGGATTCATAATAAATAACAAATACTTAAAGGAGCTAAATCGCTAACATTTGGGACCTAGAAATTGACAAAAGTGGGTCGCAACGCATATAATACTGTAATATGAATGTATATAAACTGTTTTACATTCAATGGTTTCCGTTTTTACTTTAATTTCAAATCAGTTATGTTCGGCGAAATAAGCCAACATTCTCAAGCGAGTGCAATTTCTAGCGTCTGGTTATTCCAGTCTACATACGTCGTTTGATTTGGTGCAATATGTCTAGCCTCGTTCCTCGAGTCTCTCGCTAGAACTGGGGCTGAAACGCATTATGGTACACGATTCGTGTACCAATGGTAAAATGTTTATTTTGTCTTAAATATTGGATATCAAAAGCCCATCCTTTTGCGGTAAGATCACAACATGAATGTTGATTTAGATTGACAAATAATTCATGTTTTCAATGTTGAAGATTTTGGATGATATTGAGTTAGAGACTTAGCTGCTTTAATCAATCAGTTTGATTGATGATCAATCTATGACCATTTTGATTAAAAGTTGTGGCCGTTTTAACAGTTTTATAAACCTTAATAATAATTACCCAATGCGACCTTGACCTTTACGTATCACTAAAATCTTTTAGTAGGCCTCTTTAATAATCCGATTGAATCCAAACTGGAAGAATATTGTCTGTGGATAATTTTGGTTGGTTTTCTTAATTAAATGCTAAATATGGTAGTCAATTTTTGTACATTTTAGCGTACATTAAGTTGTGAAAAATATAATATTGTTTAAAACATACATATGACAATCATTAGCGTTAAGCTACAAATTAATATAAGACAAAAGATAAAATTTACGAGCTTAGTACTTTTTCAATTTTTGCGTAGAATAAAATATACACGATGAAAATTATTTTACAATCACATCATTAACAAAACAATTAATTAACACTCATTCTTTAACTGATGAGTCAAGCAGTGATGATGCTATTAATGGTATTTCAACCCACGATTCGACAACACCCCAAAAACGATTTTGATCTTAGCTGCATATCACTTGTATATAATTACAAACAAATGACATTCCATTTAAATAGAAGTCAAAGACAAATTGTCATTTAAAAACCCTGATATTTTCATAGTTGTTTCTTTGATTAATTAAATTAGACATTTGTTTGGTGCGCTGGGGCGTATGGTGGGGGGAGACGGTAAGGCGGTGGTTCCGAATGTGGCTGCCAATACGGAGGAGGAGCCTTGGGAGGTCGTTTATTGGAACCCGTTCGGCTTCTCTCAGAGTTTAACGTACTATCGTTTGATTCCGGATCTTCTTCAAAATAATAGAATGGTCTGGAATTCCTTGATCCTCCGGATGATAATGAACCACTTACATCTGACGACAGAGTAGTTGGCTTTTTGGGTTTCAGGCTTGCTTCCTCGCGCTCCAATTCATCGGGAAATATGATTGGATTTCTGTCGTTATTAAACACAGGTTTATCCCAGGCGGTGGGTTCGGGTTTCTTCTTCCGCCGTCTGTTGATGAGTAAAACCAGAAGTATGATGAGTAACAAAACTAATAAGGACACCATGACAGGCAGGACCACCTGAGCCCAGATACTCAGTCCTGGAGTATCAGCTTGTTCTGGAAGGAAGGTTGTGTAGCTCATTGTTGTGGTCGTTTGAGCACAAGCACCAGACGCCTGATATTCCAGTTCTTGCACGGGTAAATCCTTGCCGAAATGACGTGTGAACGATGTTCGAATTGAACCATCTTTTCTGACCATGCGATTCAGCAAGCTGTTGACAGAGCTATTATCACATTCGTCACCATTAAGGGTATTATTTGTCCAAGTCACTATTAAAGATCCAACCGAAACATCCAAAACGGTAAGATTATCAACTCGATCGTCACCAAAATAACTGGCTATCAAGCTCAACAAATTATTCAAATTACTTCGATCATTCATAAAAGTCGCAAAGTCTACACCGAAAGTCATGATAAATTTGTGACTGAATTTCCCAAATGTTGAAGAATTCACAAAAAGTTTGATAGAATCTGTTTCTGTTAAGCTCCCCTTGTCTTTGGCAATGAGGTTTATGTTTTGGTAGCCTGTGTCCAGATCGACCGCCAATGGTAAACCTTTGATGATCTGTTTCTTGGGGTCCAGCTGTAACCAGAAAGTTGGTGGAAGAGGTTGGTTGTAAGGTAAAGATAGAGATAACTGTAAACTCTGGGTATCGCCATCTTCAATATCATAGAATACGTTTCGTGGAATTTGGTACTCGAAGTACTCTCCCAAGGTAGCTTCAATGTAGTCGATGGAGTTTTCCAGGTACGGTTTGTGGTTACTGGCTGTAAAATAAAGAACAGAAACATCCAGGTATTAATCTCACGAAACAAACTAAGATAGGTTGCCAGGTAATCAAACATGCACCTACAGCAGGTGAGTTGTCCAAGCAGTCCTCAAGAGAGAGAGAGAGAAATGGGGTCTAATGTCCAGTCGACACAAACTAGGTCATTTCGGGACTGACATATTCTTCAATTTTATTTCAACAATTCGCTTGTGTGTAGAGGTCTTTAGCAGTGGGAGGAAACTGGAGGACCCACAAAAACCCACCCCAATTGATTGGACACGCGACCCTACTCCTTGTCGAGTACAACCAAGGAATTGAAACCACGCCAGTTGACTTAATATCTGTATTTAACCAACGTCGCATATTTGATGCCTCGTTTGAAATGAAGACGGGTTTAACATCCTACTTTTCTGGAGGTCGCGGGTTTGATTCCTGCATTGGCCCAGAAAGTTTATCAGGATTTTCCAACGTGGTTCCCCCTTGTCAGTAGTGCAGGACGGAGGGGCCGACAAGGACAGCTGTCGAGACATTCATATGGGACGAAAAACCGAGGTCCCATGTACACACTGGCGTGCACACGTAAAAGATCCCGTGGCAGTTGGAATTCGATATAAGAATAGGCCATAGTGCCGCTGCCCGGGCAAAATTTCCCTCATAGCACACTGTATGGCGTTTGCCTGTCTTCATTAGCCCAGTCAAAGCAGAACAATAGGATGTTAAACCTCATTTCATATCATTTCATTTCTATTAATTGGGATAATGAAAATGGGAATATTTGTTCTGTCTGAGGTGATTCCATCCTTCCAACAAGAGGCATCTAGGTTGGAAAATGCTGAGGAACCTTCACAGCGAAGATTGGGATACAGCTTGGGAACTCCACTCAGTGTCTCACCCACTTAGCCACCATGAAAGATGTTTGACTAAAAATTAAATGTCAAAACATAAAAATTTGGAACTAAAAGTTTTTGAACAGTGTAACCAAGTACCTTTTGTTTAAAAATTTGTCCTTTCCCCTAAGAAATATTAAGCAAAATGAATACCAGAATTCTAATTGGTGTGGTGTAAGGCAGTGATGGGATTTCAAAATTTTTCTTGTCAGACATTTTTACCGAAAATAAAGGGACATAACTCTTATCGTTATTTATGATGGCAGTTTTTAGACCACACACAAAAATCACATGTAAACAAAACATTCAAATTCGTCCGTAATAAAAAAATAGGTGCACCTCGTTATTATTCATATTTAATTCCCGTACGGTTTTCAAATTTATGTCAGTAATATCCTACAAAATTACGTGATGTCGTAATACGATAGAATGAAAGCGTGCCGACTATTAGTCATAAGGCTAATATAGCTACTGTAATAAAGAAAGTAATAATACCTGAAGATTCTGGCCATACAGTAGGTGGGGTTGTCATATTTGCTGGTAGAGTTTTCCAATCCCAGTAATCAGCAGTAGTGGTTTTATTCTTTTTGTTCTTCTTCTTTTTATTTTTCTTCTTATTTTTATTTTTCCGGTTGTTATTTTGTTTGGCTGTAACCTTTGAGAATAGTGTTGACGTCTCTGTGATAGGATCGTGAGTTTGATGTATCAGAGCTCTAGTCGTGGATTCTGTGACATGTTGTGGTGCTCCCAGTGTAACAGGTTCTGTTGGTCCATAACCATAAAATGTTGTCTTTGGTCGCATACTAGGATGGATGGTAGTTGATATCCTCTCCCAAAACCAGTTCACTTGTCCATCGGATCCTGTAGGTTTAGGATTAGTGGTGGAAGACATGGATGCTGCTGTGGTTGAATGACTTATCCTGTCACCACTGATGACTTCATTATCAACACTGGATGAAGAACCAGAATCCATATCTTCAATGATAATATTTTGTCTGGAAGTGGTTGAATATGTGGTTGGTGCTCCTGAAGCTGTTCCCCAATCAGTTCTTGGAAATGGAGACCTCTCAGTCCCTGGATAAGTTTCTCTATCAGCTCCTGACATCTGTGTTCTACCTTGTCCAGAAAATGGTGGTAAAGTTTTGTCATCTTCAATAACAACACCACTGCTCCCTGATGTGTGAGAGGTTAATTCCTGACTGTGGGTTGTGGCATCTCCAGTACCCTCATTATTATTTGGGAATAATGGAATAAAGTTGGGAAGATCAAATACACTAGAGGACATTGTGGTGAATGTAGCCTCTGTTACAAACATTGGAATATCAGATCTAGATGATGACTCATAAGTCGGCACAACTATGTCTGTAGGTTGATTTTCAAAGACTATTCCACCTTCATCAGGATATGGGAGGTATATCAATGAACTGCTAAAATCCCCACTAATTCCAGAGCTTGAAATTGATCCAGGTTTTCTACTCTTTAAGTCATCTTCATCATCCGTGGTATAAATAGCACTATCTCCGGACTCTGGTGTAGATCCTTCTTCAATTTGGTCTCCAGATGATGATGATGAGCCCTCAATAGCATCGTTTGCTGAACCTTCTTCTATGGAAGATGTTGTGGGTACAGTGGATGTCTTCGTAGTTTGAGGAGTTTGTGTCAGTGTTGTTTCAAAGACAACATTTGTGGTTTGAACTTTTGTGGTTTCAATGGGCAGCAGTGGTTTGGTTCTGGTGTATTGATACCCTGGATCAGTATCAGATGCGGTTGTATCTGTTGTTGATGGATAAAGATCCGATGAACTGTAAGTATATGTAACCGTTTTACTTCTTGGTTTCATGGTTGTTGGTTTGGTTTCCATGGGCTGACCAGGAGATTCACCGGATGATCCTGAATGAATTGGGATTTCTGGATCAATGTAGGATGTTGTGGGTAAATAGGCTCCACTAGGAGTAGGTGTCACAACACTAGAACTATGAATTGCTATGGACGGAGAGAAAGCTTTAGATTTAGTAGTTGTGTGGGCACCAATGTTTGTCATGCTTTCATAAGGCACGTGGGTTGAAGAAGCAGAAACTGTCTTGGTTTGTGTTGGTAAAATTTGATCCCTGGACCAGCTACCGGAAGAAGTGGAAGCAGATGCTGACTCTGTGGACCTGAAAGCAATCTGAATTGTGGGGAGATTACCGGGATGGTACACTGTGTGAGTTAAAGAAGGGTTAAAGCTTGTTGTTGGAACTATTGTGGATGTAGTTTGGACTCTGGTGGGGGTTACTGGTGAGAGAACTGGGGTTGGTACAGGAGTCCTCCAGGCTCTCCTTCGTTTTCTCTTATTCAAGGTAGTAGACAGGGAATTAGAGGACGCTATGTACCACCCAACAACCTCCACACCAGACTCTTTTTGAATTCTACCAACTTTAATATTGTGCTGCAATATGGAAACAAAATCACCAATATGTTTTAAAGTAGAACAAGATATTTCCCACGAGAGTTCCACATTTCTTTCCTCATCACAGAGTCCAGCATTCCCTGGTCCAGCAGAGACAATCTGAAATCCATCTTCAAGAGCTCGTAACTTCTGACCAGTTGAGGGAATTAACATTAGTTTAGAAGCATCGAGTGAAAGGAATTTGGACATATCCGATATAAGTTTTATCCTGTCGTAAGCTTCAAGTTTATCGGGAGAAACACAGAACACAATATTAGTTATAACGACTTCATTCTCACACCCATGTGGCGTATTGTCTGTCGTTTCACTTTTGGAAGAATGGGGATTGTTTTGTTTAAATCCATAATGGCTGTCTTTCACTGAGAGTAAGAAGACATCTTTAAAACATGGTGCTGAGTTTGTACACACAGTTTCTACGGATATATAGTGATCTCCGACATCTTGCGTAGATGGCACACCAATCAACTGTCGTCGGTTAGAGTTATATAATAACCATCCGGGAAGACTAGAACCAATGGCCTCAGACACCTGGAAATAGAAAAAAATGAAATGAAATGAAATTAAATGGGGTTTAACGTCCTACTGTTTTGCTCCGAACTGGGCTAATGAAGATGGGCATACGCCATGCAGTGTGCTATGAGGGAAATTTTGCCCAGACAGTGGCACTACGGCCTACTCTTATATCGAATTCCAACTGTCAATGGATCTTTTACATGCACTCCAATGTGAACACGGGGCCTCGGTTTATTGTCCCATCCGAACGACTAGACAGCTGTCCTTGTCAAGCCCTCCGTCCTGCACCTCTGACAAGGGAGAACCACGCCGAAAAATCTGGATGGACTTTCTCGGCCAATGCAGGGATCGAACACCTGACCTCCAGGCTAGCGAGCCAGGGTCTTACCCACTTAGCCATTTAACATCATTTAATTACAGCGATTGTAATTATTTGAAAACAAAACAAACGTAACAGCACAAATCTGGCGAGAATGATCAATTGTAATTATTCAAAGATTTTTCAATTTCTGAATGGATATTACATGTATCTACAACTCTTAGCTGAACACATCTCCGAGCCCTTCACGTAATACCCTGCATATTTCATCACTAATTTCGATTGGCTACTGACTCAGCTGGGGACCTCTCAGATTCCTCGATAGAATATTGAATAGGAAGTCTCGCGCTTTCCAGCCAAAATCTATACTTTTGTTAATTGAGTCGCAAAACTCAAGGTTCGTTCAATGTCGTGGTTTCCGTGGCAGTCGCCAAGTTTGATTTGAGTGTGTTAGTGTCACGGCCTCTGATTGGACAAGGCTAGTGTTCACGTGTCTGCAGTAAAGGGAGATAATGTTTCTATAAGTTTTGGGAATGTCAAACCCATCTAGCAATGGCTAGACGTTATAAAACTTGACGTCGTTGATTCAGGAACATGAGCTGAACAATAGCAGGAGCTTTCTTATTTAGTTAGGCAGTGATATATCATACACCCACAGCACACCAGCAGCAAAAATCATCCAGGCTATAGCTATATAAAAACACATTTCTACATAGCTATGATCTACACCTCTTAGCTGAACAGAGGGACTGGCAAGGATAGCATCTAGTTGTTCAGATGATTTGCATACTTCTAATTCAGGACTAACAAACATTAAATCTTTTGCTATAGATCTAAATCTACCTCCCAGACTACATCTGTATCCAATTCAAAAGGTTTATTAAAGTTTATCCATATTTTTCACCTTTCATGTATATCTTCAATTATAGCATCATTACTATCTTTGATGAAAGTATTTTAGATCTACTGTGAATTAAAAGAAAGCTGATATAATGTACAACAGCTGTAAATTATATGTCCAACATTAAAGTGAGAGAGAGAGAAATGGGGTTTAACGTCCACTCAACACAAACTAGGTCAATTCGGGACTAACTCATGGTTCAATTTTATTTCTATAATTTGGTTGCGCGTAGGAGTCTTTCGTAGTGGGAGGAAACTGGAGGACCCGGAGAAAACCCACGAGGTTGGATAGGCGACCCTACTCCTTGTCATGTACAACCGGGATTCGAAACCACGCCAGTTGACTCAATGACAGACCTTATGATACAGCGCGCACGTGCTAACTACTGCTAAAGAAATAAAATAAAATTAAACCATGTGTTAGTCCCAAAATGACCTAGTTTGCATTAAGTGGAAGTTAAACCCCATTCCTCTCTCTCTCGGCTAAAGACCCCTACACACAAGCAAATTATTGAAATAAAATTGAACCATATGTTAGTCCCAAAATGATCTCCCTCTATCGTTTGATTTCAGGTATTGGTTTGTAGCAGTCTTATTCTATAGTACAATGAATTCATCCTACACATTGAAGGGCAGACATGAAACCAGTCTGAATCTGTTACACATGCTTTATCCCAAGAAAATGATCGTTTGATTTTAGGTATAAGTTTGTAGAAAGAGTTATTCTTGGTAGAAGATACAGGTATTGAGCTATAAACATCTCTATTATTATGGTTGTAAAAGTGTAAAATTAACAGGAACCAGATGTCTATTACAGGAATATGACTGTTCATATTCCCAGATGGCCATACTGGTATTTCACAATTACCATAGAAACACTATTACAAAAGGATCCAATCTTTAAAACATACAGGATGAAAAACTATAACACATAAAGCACCAAAAGAACTCTTCAAATACATTGATATTTTTTGATATAATGGATAGGTTTTTAAGGTTGCCAAAAGTGCCAACTTTCGATTGAAATGAACCAAATAGTGACGACTCTTTTTTCTATTCTATATCTTAAAAATATATATATATATATATATATATATATATATATATATATATATATATATATATATATAGAGAGAGAGAGAGAGAGAGAGAGTGAGAGAGTTCTTCAAATACATTGATTTGTCTCATATAATGGTTGGGTTTTTAAGGTTGACAAAAGTGCCAATGTTTGATTGAAACGAACCAAATAGTAAAAAACACAACACAATTTATATGGAATACAATCACTGGTTTATACATTTATACACGAAACGTCATGCTATATGTGTCGTGCTATATGTGTATAAGTGTATAAACCATTGATTATATTCCATATAAATTGTGTTGTGTTTTTTTTTAATGTGCTCAATCACTAAATGCCACTCAAGGATTAGAACCAGACTCTTTCGGCTTTCCTCTATATCTTAAAAAGAAGTACAAAAAACAGGAGAGAGGGATACGTGAGCTTTTCCCAGTAACAGATTGCCATTTTGATATAAAGATAGGTTGCCAGGCAACAAAACATACGCCCACAGCAGCTATATCGTCCGAGCAGTCAACAAGGGTTGTCGCATATTTTTACTTTTTTCGGTAATGAAACATTTATAATAAACTATTAGAATTTGTTTGGTTTTCATAAAGTTCAGCCCCATGCTAACATTTTGTATGCAAAGCTTTTAATATCATGGATTTAACTGTTCAAGTCATAAAAATTCATTGAAAATCAATATACTTGTTCGTCTCAAAATCTTAAACTCTGTGTATCCATCTGAAGTCAATCGGATGATAACTTTAGCCTTTAGAGCGCCACAAGATTTTGCAAAGTGATCAAGGGCCATAACTTTGGCAGTAATTATCGGATATCGTTGAAAATCAATATGATTCTTTGTCTCATGACCTCAAACACTGTGTATAAATTTAAACTCAATCGGTTATTAACTTTAGCCTCTAGAGCATCCACAAGATTTTTTGAAGAGATCAAGGGCCATAACTCTGGCAGTAATTATCGGAAATCGCTGAAAATCAATAGGCTTCTTCGTCTCAAGACCTTAAACACTGTATATAAATTTTAAGTCAATCAGATATTAACTTTAGCCTCTAGAGCGTCCACAAGCAATTGTGGACGCCGGACGGCCGGACGGACGGACGTGGGCGACGACAATATACGACCACATTTCAATGTGGGAGTATAAAAATGGTGTATTATACGGGCCATTTTCATATAGAAATGGTGTATTATACAGGCCATTTTCATATAGAAATGGTGTATTATACGGGCCATTTTCATATAGAAATGGTTTATTATACGGGCCATTTTCATATAGAAATATACAAGCCATTTTGTGTTGTTTGTTGTGACTGTATTTACTGTAGTCCCCATGGAGATAAAGTTGCCAGGCAATGAAACATACGCCCACAGCAGCTTAGTCGTCAGGGCAGTCAACAAGAGTTGTCACATATTTTTACTTTTTTCGGTAATGCAACATTTATAATACACTAAAATCTGATTAAGAGTAACAACTCATTAAGTAATTATCATAAAATCAAAAGAATTTGTTTTGTTTCTAGTTCTATCCCATGCTAACGTTTAGTAAACAAAACATTTAATATTTTGCTGTTCAAGTTATCAAAAATCATTGAAAATCAATATACTTGTTCATCACAAGACCTTGTATTAATCTAAAGTCAATGGAATGATCACTCTGGCCTGTAGAGCATCCATAAGATATTTCAAAGTGATCAAGGGCCATAACTCTGGCAGAAATTATCAGAAATCATTGAAAATCAACAGGCTTTTTTGTCTCATGACCGTAAACACTGTGTATAATCGGATGATAACTTCAGCCATTAGAGCATCCACAAGCAATTGTGGACGCTGGACCTTTGGATGGATGGACCGACTGACGGACGGACGGGTGCGATAACAACATATGACCACATTTCAATGTGGGCCGATAAAAACAAAAGGAACATTTTTTGACATCCTGGTCAACAATTGGGAACAGTAGTCAAAATGAGGATTGTCTACGAATCTTATAGCATATTGTCATCACTTTGATAAAGTATTTCCAAAATTCAGGTTACCCCAGTCCTGCCAGATGTCCAATGTATAAAATGTTGCCAGGGATTAGGGCAGTTGTAATTCAAACTTGTTGACTGAGTCATTTCTTATCAAAATACTAGTTATATACTAGTGTTTCTTTAATAATATTTTTAAATTCAAAAATAATGTATTTTTAAAGGGTAAGTCAATGACAAAACGGATACTGAACCCACTTGACTAACTAAACCAAAATATACTAAATGGAAAAAATATGTCCATTAAAATACTATTTTGATACATGTGGATTACCTAGATATTCAAATTTGAAATTTTGTAAAGAGAGAGAGAGAGAGAGAGAGAGAGAGAGAGAGATGGGGTTTAACCTCCACTTAACACAAACTAGATCATTTCGGGACTAACATATGGTTCAATTTTATTTCAACAATTCGCTTGCGCATTGGCGTCTTTAGCAGTGGGAAGAAATTGGAGAACCCATAGAAAACCCACGAGGTTGGACAGTTGACCCTACTCCTTGGGACATATATACAACTGGAGAATCAAAACCACACCAGTTGACTCAATGACAGACCTTATGATACAGCACGCACATGCTAACCATTTGGCCATCCAATCCCCCAATTTTGTAAAGAGAACTACCACAAGTAATGCTATCCCACCACGATAGGTTTTACCACCACTTTGCTACTCTACAAT